AGTGTGAGGGACCAAGGAGTTACCTCATTCACTGTCAAACACTATTGTGTTTAATGGCATAAATGTTATTCTACTAGTTCAATTTTTTATGCACTTTTCATTTCGTGGTGCTCAGGATGTGAAAACAGAATGTGCTGTCACAATGTTTGATAGACACGGTCAGTTTAACTCAAAGGTTTGACAGCCTAATGTGGGCTCTACGGCTAAAAAGGAAGGAGGAGGAAGGAGTGAGCCAAAAACTACCACATGTATTTTCCAAAAGCAGCCCAGCAAAGTCTAAATAGTCCTACGTGGTTTAACGCCATCTCATTCCATAACCTCTAAGTCCTCAAAGTGAATTATCACATTATAACATTCCAACACGCCCCAAATTCCCAAAATACAGCTTCAGGTTTTTCCCTTCTGACTCTGTTTAGTGTTATGGTTTTTGGAGAAGACTTCAATCATCACTAAAGTTTTTTCTGTTTACTTCTGGTATTTATACATTTGTTCTATCTGTCTTGTCATTTTGTCTTGGTTTTAGTCATGTTGCTTAAAATTTAGGCTGAGAAATGAGGCAAATGGAAGAGAGAATGAAGTTCAAGTAAAAAACAACATAATATTGCAATAGGAATTATTCTTAAGGTGTTTAAGGTATAGAACACCTTAAAGAAAGTAAAATAATTTCGATTTTGTAAACAATGTCATGTCTTTTTTCTCTTCTGTATCTGGAAATTTATGTTGTGTAGAAGGATGGATAATATGACAGTTGGGACATAAAATGTGTTAACCTTGTTATTAAAATGTCCACTAAACACAAACTATACAGTTAAACTGTATAAGTTAGGTAAATAAAAGCAAAACAAGATATATTTATTAGAAGTTTCTTCATTTCATTGCCTTTCTTTAAAATGGGAGATACCACTTCTTATATATCCCTTAATCATCAAGCTCCATCATCCAACAGACGTATTTGCTCCCTGACTGCAAGTTAACTGATGGTTCTTTTAATTTCTAAAAATAAAATGGGAGGCGACTCTTTCAGTATTTAAGCCTCATTTCCGTAGAACTCACACAGTTTTAGTCCTAAGACACCTTCTCTACTTTCAAAACAAGGCTTGAAACTCTTCCTATTAATAAAGCTTATATTGAATTTTCTGGACTATAGTGCGCACCTCACCATAAGCCGCATCCACTATATATTTTTTTTAATGGAAACGTACATATATAAGCTGCATCAGCCTGTAACCACTTTTATCTACCGTGCTGTTTCCCAACAAACCTGTAGGGGGAGCTCTCTATATATTGCCCCTGGGGTAGGGAGAAAGAAGAATGATAGAATGCTGTGAAATCGGGAAATGCTTTCTTTGTCGTGCCTGTTGCTATCATACTCTTGTGCTAAATGAAAATTATCCCCTTATTCTATCATTTCAAATTTTAACGTTTCCCTCTGCCGGTTAGGAAAAATCCACTGAAAAGCCGCACCTTCTTATAAGCCACATTGTTTAAAGTGTTGGAAAAAAGTAGCGTCTTATAGTCAGGAAAATACCAGCGGTAGTTTATTTTAGCGAGAGTTTGCAAATATAAACACTCAAAGACATCATCTGATATGGTCCAAAAATATCACTACAATAACCTGATTGTAAAAAAATTATTGGAAATAAATTACTGTCACTCTTTCATGACACAAAGACTTGTTTTCTACTGTTCTGTGATGTTGTATGCGTGCAGGCTGTGCTGTCCAGACCCATAGAGAGTAGTCCAGAAATTTAAGCACAGGAGGAAAAACGGCAAGATGTATAAAAGCTGCAGATGTCATGTTCACACGCAGGGGTACCGTATGGGGGGGGGGTTAAGAAGATTCTAAGGGCCCTTGACTGATGGGGGCCGAAAAAGAAGAAGAAAAGATATGTCCCGCGATACATTTCAAATATTAAAAGAAAATCCAGCAGTAAAATAACATTTCTTTGTGTTCTCCCTCATATTTTAGCAGTCACCAGTGAATGTAATAAAAATAATAAAAAAAAAAAAAATTTGCATTTCTGCACCTTTGCATTGTTTGCTTTCATTTTAGCGTCATTTTTTAATGCCCTTCTTATTTTGTTTGTTTCTTCTGGTTTATCGTTCTGTTTTGCTGTGATTGTGGAAGGACATCAGCTGAGCTGATGCTGCCTTTAACTCCCTTTTCTTTATCTACACTGCACTTGTGATTTAAAGATTTCACTCTCCTAGACATACAGTAACTAAAGGGGTTACTACTTGTTTTAACTTTTTGATTTTCTTTTTTAACATAGAAAGTACTTACTGCTTCTGAAAGAAGGCTAAATTACTTTTTATCTGTCCATATGTTTATGTGTGCAGTAATTTGAAGTAGTAGCCTACTTGTTTTTTAAACTATTAATTTAAAATTATGTGGAATCAGTAAAAAAATAAATTAATAACTTACCTAATGTAATACCCTGATTTTAAATACCCCAATAAAATGAACTAAATCAAAAACAAAAGTATACAAAAGTCAAGAGTAGAAGGAATGAATAAACAAATATCAATATAAGACATAACCTTTTTAAGGCCTAAATTAATTACAGATGCAGTGGGAAAAATCAGTTCTAGGTGCACATATGTGTATCAAAATTATCTATTTTTTCTCAGATTAGGGCAAATCTATACTTCGTAATATATACACAATGTATAGATTAATTCTACTCTATATCACTTCAAATCAATTTGAACCATTTGAACGGTTTAGTTGGTTTAAAGTTGTGATTTTTAAATAAGCAGAATTATTTGATAATAGATTATTTAAAACACACCTTGTGGTTTATGATTTGTTTTTCTCCATCAATGCAAAATAAAGACATTCTTAGTTTTCCTAAAACTTTTCTAAAATCTTTTCTAGTGTGGTCCTCCGAACCAGATGTTTCAGTACACTTTAAGTGACTTTCATATAAATCTTTTAGACCACTTCTTTTTTGTACTTTCTCACAAACAAGCTTTTGTACTGTGCTGATTTTCTCTGCAAACAACAGTTGTTGACTGTCTGGTTCCGATTTAGCCAACATGGAAAACATTGTGAATGTATGAAAAGTTATGATGTTCAGATTGTGCTAAAGACCATTACTGTTTTATCAGAGCCATGTGGCATCACTCAGTGCCATGCCACACTGGTTTGATGAAGAAAACAGAGAGTTTAAACTGTGGTCACACTTAACTTCGATATGACTCAAGAGAGGTCCTGGAAGTTAGCCACGGTCCCTTTTCCAAAACATATATCAGCCAATGAGAATGATGTGATAGAAAGGGGCTTTTTTTGTTAATTTTTGCTGTCAAGAGTGGGCATGTATCACTGTAACACGGCTGAAGTTGCTGCTGTAACTCTGTTTTTGATTAAATGTGTTTGTGCTGCTTACTCCAAGATGAATTATAAAAAGAATTTAGAAGGAAATAATATAACATTAGGCAAATGATCTTTAAGCTACATCAGTTGTCAAGTATTTTATTAAAAAATCTTAATTTTTATTCTTTTTTTGTCTGGTGCTTGTGACTTAAAATATGACTGCATGCAGCAAAGAGACAGCTAATTACCATTTCATGTAATGAATATAATGACAAAGGCTGTACTGTTAGCAGCACCCTTTTGTAGCAAACATAAAATGAAACACAAGTATCTAATTATGCCATCATCTTCCCTGTTCAAGCTGTAAACGTTTCTCTAATTGGTGGTCTGCAGCATCGGCCATCTTATCAATGACTCTGATGATGTAAACAGTTAGAGATGCTATAGTGAAATACCAGAGTCCGAACCTGGAATAAATCCATGAACTTTTTTCCACTTTGTGCAGACTTTTACTATGCTAAAAGGGAAATTGGAAAAGAAGAACAGTAATGTGTTTGAGTGCTTAAATGACTGCACAATGTTAAGCAGACCCCATCTTTATATGAAAGCTGTTAACTTTAACTTTCCATAAGGAAAAAATAATCACATACAGCTGGTTCAAAGACAGCAAGACACAAAAACACATCATGTCATCTAGAATCTGTTATTATCTCTCCTTTCATCTATAGCTGCAGCGACAAAGCCAAACATTTCTTTTTCACTGACAGGCTATGTAAATACAACCTTAAAAGTGACTTTACCCTGCCAAACAGTATTGTAGAGGACCTCTCTTTTCTTTTTATATAAAGTTGATGATCAGTGTTTTCCCTTTACTTTTCTCCATCTGCTAAACACGGCAGACTGAGGTTAAATTATTTCAATGTTTTGTTTCCCTACTTGCCACTTGCATGGAGCATCAAACCCATAGAATGGAGTGACACTCAAAGAGTACACAATCTTAGCTGATTATCTCAAACAACGGATATATTGTTTTCCTCATCCTTTTTTTAAAACCACCATCAACTCACATGCTTCTTATTTGTCACTAGAAGCTTTTGGCTGTACTATCCCCCTCTCCCTGTGAGAGCATCAGAGACCTAAGACAAAACTGTAAATATTTAATGACTTTACAATTACATTCAATCTAATCCGGGGTAGAGATGTGCCTTTAAATAGGTTGTTACAAAGGGTAGAGCTGTAATACAAATGAACATCCCAAAGCCAATTAGTCTTTGGTTTTTAAAAAAGAGAGCGACCAACGAATGCATGGGTTTGAGATAATTAAGTGTTTGTGCGTAGCTTGTACATGAGCTGTCACTCCAATCGCCAGACATGTCACATCAGCCAACACAAGTGTGACCGGACAACCGCCCGTCGCCTTTGATCTGGGTTCATGCATACGGAATCAGGTCAGGCTGTGGCCGCATGCATTCTCAAATACATTTATACACACATACAATTTCAACACTAGAAAGGAGGGATTATTTTCAAAGGGCCAAAATAGCATGATCTCTGTAAAGGGAGATGGGCAATCAAGCATAAAACTGAAGAAAGAAAGGACAAAACAATTCACTAAAATGGTGAGCAAAATTCTTTCAGTGCTTTAACTAAATACATGTAAAAAAAGGAAAAGAGAACAACTTACTCCCTCCGACTTTGGCTTTACCACTTTCATGAAGGCCCCTCTTTCCTGTGCCTCCATTAGCTCTTTTCTTGTTACTTTCCTGGAGTCCAAAAACTTAAGCTGGGGTAACTTGTAAAGTACAAAGTACCTATAAGACAAGAAAAAAAAATTAAGAAGCTGCTTTATTAGATTACCTCCTCAGATAATGACTTGCAAAAATCATTTATAACCCCTGAGCTTTTCTTTTTCATTTACAGCCAGTATATTGTATTTTTCAGAGATTCAATCTGATAGATATATGTAAAAAGTTTTCCTGATAAAAAAATCAGAAATTTGTAACGTGTTTGTTTTTAGGTTCTTTTACTCCTTACCTGAATAAAATCCTGTGCAACTAAAACTAACTGCCTTTAGAAGTCACCTAATAAGTACAACTGTGTAAATTAAAACCATTATATATCAACCATATATGCAAAGGCCTCCGAGGTGTGTTAAGAACATGAGAGAACAAACAAAAACTCAGTGAGCACTGTTCAAGTCAAATGGGGAGGGTATGGTACAGGTGTAAACCTATCAAGACATGACTGTCCACCTCAACTGAGATGTTGAGCAAGAGAGGCATTAAATAGACGGTCCACCTTAACTTTGAGACGGATAAAAAATTTGCAACAGCTCAGGTGGAAGAATGTGTTGACAGTACATTGAGCATCATGCTCTCTGTATAAAACTGTCCTATAATGCAGTGGTTTTCAAACTCTGTACTTAAGGACCATCTGTCTCGCATATTTTAGGTATTTCCCTGCCTCCACACACCTGACTTTAATAAATAGGTGATTAGTAGGCCCCTGCAGCTCATGGTGGCTACTGAGAAGGGAGGACAATCATTTGATGCGGGTGCTGATGCAAAGACACATCTCAAACATACAGGACAGGGGTCCCAAGGACCGAGTTTGAAAACCACTAGGTTCGACACAGAGTTCATGGCAAAATGGACAGTTACAGTACATAGAGGAAAAACCTGCTATAGTCTGCAAAGTTGTCAGACTGGACCAGTGGTCCCCTTCCAGCAGGTTGAAGGCAGTAAAAACTATAAAATAGCTAAATCAAAGCATATTGGAATAGGAAAGGCTAAGTAAAGATCTCATGCATTCAAAAATCTGTGCCAGGATTCCAAAACGGATTTTAATCTGACAACATTTAAACCACACTTTGAAACAGTTAGAAAATAAAATAGCCTTTGGATTAAAACCTGATTCCATTGTGGCGCATCAATTCTCTAATTGTTTATCAGACATATGCCAAAAGACTTGAAACTCTGTTTGCAAGATTTTGACGTCAAAATAACGTGTAAAAAAACATGTAAAGGTTTAAGTAGTATAATTAGTTTTTGCATCTCGCTTTATAAGTCACTGTAACATACAATTGTGGGACCAATTTTATCATGATTAAAACTTGTTTAGAGAGAACCTGAAAAGCAGTCATGTTTAATCTGGATGCAGATTCTGTTCTGATATATCCTTGCATGCAATAACCTTCAAAGCTGATAGGAAAACTACACCACATAAATGGTGCACAAGGATATGAAACCTGTCTGCAGTAGCTGTCATTCTGATAACATCATGGATACCTCTGTAAGCTTTTAGACACACTCTGTCTTTCATTGGAAGGGAGAGAAACGTCAAACGATAATGGCTGGAATACACAGATGACAACAGATCCTTTCACTGGCGGGCAGGGTTAGAGGAACCAGTATGTCAGGGCTGAGCTGGTAGCCAGAAAGGACACACATCCAGCACCTAAGTGGAGGGTGAGAAAGGACGGGAAATATGGGCTGAGACAAGACCCATGTGCGTGCGGGGTTGTGACAAATTGATGATGGCAATGGCGATGAAGGGGAGATGGCAAAGCCTGTGTCAACTTTTCAACACCTCTGGATAATGAGGAGAGATGCAGGGATCAGATTTAGTGTGATTGGGAGCATAAAACATCTGCATCCAAATTAAGGAAGAAAAAATATTTAAAAAACAGTTGTGAATCCCTTATGGTTTGAGCATTATGACAGGCAAAAAGGACCTTCTCCTAACCCCTTAAGGAGAGGCTTTTTTGCGTCCTATGAAAAATCTAGCTCTCAAATCCAGGAGGCCTCATTCCCAGCTTGTGTCTCCCTGCATGCAAAGGGAACTTGTTCTTAGCATCTCCATGATTGAATGAGAAGATGCCCTTGGGAGACACAGAGGGAGGTTATTCTCCATAGGTAACCTACCATCGCAGGGTCAGAACAGATGACAAGGCTCTGTCAGCTAGTGGTGATATTAATGATTCAACCCCAACCACAAAGGGAGGATAAGAGAGCGAAGGAGACACAGGGTAGCATGGATGGTGACAGGGCTGTGGTGTTTCTGAATATTTAGAACTTAAAAAAAAGTAGTCTGAAATAGTGACAGAATCTATCTTCTCAAATTAAAAATGTTGATTTTTATCAATCCAAGCCTTTTATAATTCAGAGTGATGACTTCTACTCAGTGTGTTGTGAAGCCACACAAAAAAATTGATGCAATTCTTTACTAGATTGTAAAGAACTGCATATAATAATTCCAAAATACTTCAAAAATAAACTGTGCTTTGTAGCCATTTAATTAAAAAAAGACTACAAAGCACAGCTGGTGGTTGAGGCTCCTCAGACTACCCTTTCATCTGCCACAATGGCAGATTGTTCAAACCGATAACTCTCCACAGGGTAAAAGGTTAAAATGTCAGATACATTTTGTTGATTTATTTATGTCATAAAAGACAAAACAAAAGAGAACATGTTATAAACTGTTGTAACTTTGAGTTCTCACTCTTAGATTTGTTTTCAATTTTCTGATTTTCCACAGGCTGAAAGGTGGACGGTAAGTTGTGTGTGTTTGCTTTTTTAAATAAAGGTACACACAAAAAAACGATTTCTGACTTAATTACATTTTGTTCTTCATTTAATTTACCAAAGCTAAAAAGATCTTGTGTGCTTTTTATCAATTGAACACAACAGTCATTAATAGCCACAAAAAATTATATGGTTACCGAAGGCCACTGCTGAGAGAAGAGAAATGCCTCAAAGAGGAATTTAAGTCACTCAATTATGCTACTAGATCAAATTTTCTATAGTGGAGCTTCATTATTACACTTCTCCACACCTTCACATTTTTAAAGTGATATTTTACTTAATTTCTCTAAATAAGACAAGGAGCCAACTCCATAAGATTAGCTTTTTAATACATTATATCTAGGCGATCTTTTGTAAAATTGGCCTGGAGTTGTTTTTCAAATGTTTTTCCCATTTTTAATGTGTGCCTCATGCCTTAACTTCCCTTGCAGGCATGAAACCTGCAATCTCAGGTCTGTTTACTGAGTTTGCAGATTTTGCCTACTTTTAATAAGAACAAAGAATGAAGAAGCGAATTTATAATTGACTTCCTTTTCGAGATGTACTTGTTATGTTTAGAGTTAACTCAAGAGCCAACAGATCAGGAAATATCTGTGAAAGAGGCATAAAATCAGACTTCAGAAATACAGTTTTTTATTTTTTTTATTTTTTTATTTTTTTTTTGGGGGGGGGGGGGGGGTTACTCATGACAGTTTTTGAATGAGAGAGACATAAAAAAGTAAAAAAAGGAATCTTTTTAATTAGAATAATGTATACTCTTAAGGTGAAATAAGATGCCATAATGACCATAAATTTTAAAATGAACACTAATGTTTTTTTTTTAGATGTGTATTATAGCTGTGAAGAATTAAAATTTGCAGTTTCTGTTCAATTCTTGTTTTTACAAATTTCTGACTCACCTTTATACTGTATTCTATACTACAAAGAAAGGGACAGTGAGGATTTTAAAGTCACCAAAGAAGAAGAGAACATTTAACCTCCCTGCTCACCACAGTGTTCAGGGAATGAGTGCTATATTTCTATGTCACTGCACTAATTGGGTCACCGATGCGGCGCACCAGGATATTTCACTTGAGAGAGCGAGAAGTCTTCAGGCACTGGGCTGGGTATTTATTGCCCAAGGCCAGTGCTGTCACGACCTGCATACAGCCTAACCTTGTCAGACATGAAATCTGCATCACGCTCAAATTGATGTTTTACTATGTGACACACTATGAATATTACATTACAGGACCGTAGACGTTGTCAGTCAAAACAGAACAGCTTTCCTCGCCAGTAAGATAAGCAGGCAAGTAGAAGGGGAAAAAATGGGAGGGAAGGGAGTTTGAGGGCAGGGAGGAGGAGGGGGGGTGGAAGGGTGGTGTATAGAGACAAAAAGAAAGAAGAAAAGCTTATTCAAGAAAGCATGGGTGGTAAATGATTAATAGGAAACACAGAGTCAGAAACAAGCACTTAGGGCTAAAACAGACAAAAGAGAGTATGCTTTTCGCCTTTTATCACATTTCATGTAAAGGACCCTGACAAATAGTGGTCATATTGCCTGACTCGAGGCTTGGCTTGATGTTTAATGCATCATCTGCTCTGGTAAGGCAGAGTAGTAAACACTCATTTGTGGCAATGATTAGTCACACATGAAATCCATTTTATAAACTGTAGTGTAGCGAGGCCAGTTGACAAAGCTTTTAGGTTGATGCAGCTGAGTCCACAGTCTAGTTATGAAATGCCGGTGGTCAAAAACCCACACCTTCCAATTGATTACATTGAGATTCAATTCAATCTATAAATTATTGCTCCAAACTTAACAATATAAAAACTAATGGATAGTTTAGGTATTTTGAAGCAATGTTCTGTTAAACAGTTGATAAGTTTCTATCGTTCCTCAAGTAGATTGAGACTAAAATTAAGCCTTTAGTTGTCTTCTTTTATATAAATCCACGTTAGCCTGTTCTGGAGAGGGATGGTAAGAGCTAATTCAAATAGTAAGAGGTTTTAAAGGTTAACCATTGAGTTTTCTGAGACAGGAGTTGTTATAAGACGGTAGATATCAGTCTCTCCACGACTAGCTGTAAGCTTCACATTCAAGAACACACTAATATGGTTTTATAATTAAATAAGATACTAAGAGAGTAGAATACTGTAGGTAAGATATTAACTGCTTGTAACGTTTTAACAGAACTTACCTTTGAAAGTCTTAACAATCTGTTTGAGGAAATAATGCATTTTTACTGATTCACAATTTTTGGTACAGTGAAGTGAAATATTCATACCACTGGCAGACAAAGGTTTAAAGTAATGATTTTATTTTATTTTATTTTATTTTTTTTTTATATTATTTGCCAAAATGTTTTTGCCCAGCCAGGGCCCTTACATTTAATCTGATGGAGAATCTGTAGAGCAAAGCTAAACATTATGCTATCAGGAAGGAGGTCTTTGAAACCCAAGGATTTGCAACCAATCACCAAGATTAAGAAAAAGAAAAAAAACAACAGCATGAAAAAAAAATAAAATAAAACAAAAGATATCTCTACAAATTCAGTTGCTGCACTGCCAAAAGAGATTGTTCCATACATTATCCAGAAGGGTACAAATCCTTATAAACAAGCAATTTCACTGGATTAGAAGTATATATAAACAAATGATTTATTTTAGTTTTCACTTTTACATTTTCCTCCTCCCACAATGTTTTTGAAATATTCCCACACTCATTTTCTACGACAGAAAAACTTTTAATGAATGATGAATATCTATGTAAGCAATCTAAATCAGTACTATATATATAATTATAGGCTCAATGTTTATACTGAGTCCTTTTTTTTTCTTCAATTCCTCATTCAGATGTTAAGTCATGAAATTTTATTCACATAGTAACAGACCTGTATCTCTGGTAGTCGTCGTCATCCTTATCCAGGCTTACCAGCTGGTTGGGGCAGGCCTCATTTCCCAGCAGGCTTAGGTACTGCAGCGATGGGGTCACGTCAGCCAAGTTATCCAGCAGGGCCTCGATATCAGTCAGGTGTCAAAGGGCAGATGTCAAGGACCTAGCGCTGTTAATTACATTAGCATTCACTACCCACACAACCCCTCCCAGGCCTGTCTGCACTAAAACACGTCACTGTCAAATTTACTGAGGTGCTCAAAGAAGCTAGTCAGTGACTTTGTGAGAGTGGGCAGACAGAGGGGCAATTTAAGGTGCAGGCCTTGGCATATAGCACTGACACAATTTGGCTCCTGCTCTCACTCTTTCTGTCGAATCTCTTTAATTTCCTAGGTGGCCGGGTGCACAACGGTGACAAAATGATGGATGCCCTGCGGTTCAAACAGTCCGTGCTTCTCGGAGCTACGCTGTGGAAAAGTTTTGCGAAACATGGAAAAAAAACAAACAGCCCCTAAGCAGGCACATTCATCACTAATACATTCACTTGGAAAATTGAGCCCCAAAGTGTCAAAATACAACTGCACTAATGCGGCGCTCCAGCTTTAAAATGGCACTGTGCCACGACAGGATGTACATAATTGGCCTATTAGCATGTGCCGACCACTTCACAACCGAACTGAGCACACAGTCCCAGATGCACACTTTAAGGAGTCCCAGTTTTAATGTTGACTCTGGAAGTGTGTGTGTGTGAGAGTGAACATCGTTACCCAGCAGGATCTGCATAACCAAAGGAAAACAGGACACATTACCGAACCTGCTCTGAGGCTCAGAGAGGAAGTTCGCACTTCTCCGACTGATCATAAACAGCCTCGCAATGTGTTTTACGTCTATGCCTTAAATCTACAGCGACACCACTGAGCTCTGGCTTTAACATGTTTACAGTGTTAGGCATATAGAGCACACAAGACTGCTGGAGTAAGCGACCTGAAACTGTACTATCTGAGAAGAAATTAAATAGATGATACTTTTAATTTCAGGGCGGATTATGTAGATTTATTCAGGTTTTTGATAAGAAAATCTTGGATGCTCCATTAGTTTCCACTCTGAAAATACAAGTACTTGTTATTGTAACTGTTGAATCTTATTCCACTAGAGGTCCCTGTGGTTCAAAAACCAGTCATGTGTGTAGCTGAGTGATAACCGAGTTCCTCTACTCTTTTCTGCAGTGTGGAGTGCTTTCTATAAAGCCACATCACTACTAAGCAACTTTTTCAGACAATAGGGGATTGTACTCACTCATGAAATAAGGCAAAAAATAAACAGTTTTCCTGAATTTATGTCTGTAAATGCAGTACAAATCAAGAGAAAATTGTGGCCTAAGTGATTATTCTCAAAGGATATTTGGTTCTTATTGAGTGTCAGGGTGTGGAGCTTGGGTAACCTGGGCAACTGGAGGTCATTTCCAAGCAGATTGTTGTCGACGACCAACTCTTCCAGCTCAGTAAACATTTTGAGGCCTGCCAGCGACCTGTAATGATAAGGAAACAGTAAAGCGGTTATGGCTCAGAATCTGCTCAGGGGTTATTGTGCAGAAATAAATATTTCAGCCTCTCTCCTTTCATGCGACAGGAGAGTCTGAGCCCGAGCCTGTCAGTGAAGTGAATGACAAGAATTTGTGGCGCTGAGCTCCCCTGGCATGGCGAGGCATCCTTCAGCGGCTGGCAGGATGAGGGATGGGGGTCACTTGTGAGTAGCCAGGATTCAAAACAAAAGGCTTCAGAAATGCAGCGGGCAGGATGAATTTGTCAATGTCTTGTGCCTTGAGGCGCCCAGTTTCGCCTGACCCTAACGCTCCATTCCCAAGACAAATCACTCTGTCACAGTTCACCTTCACTCCCCAGACACAAATTTAACTTGTCATCCATCATTTTCACAGAGGAACTGGGATGCACTCACAATCACAGATGCAGTAGAAAGGAAACTTTTTTCTGCCGCTGTGACATGATGGGGGTTAGTGTTAGGATTACAACATCAAAGCTTTTTTTTCTTCTTTAAAGAAGGCAACATTTGGCCCTTCTGTTTCGTTTTATGACACACTGCACACAAGTGAGGGATCATTCAAGCTTCTTTCCTGTCCGTCCCTCTCACACGTATATACATATTAGCACAGGCATAGTGCTGAAGGAAGGGGGTGCTAAAAGTTATGTTAGAGCCCTGCAAAGTTCAAGTCATGGAAGCCACACAAAGGGCAATGTGTGTGCCGTCTAATCCCTCACTGTCAGAGTGCCATGTTAAGGCGTCCTGGGAGACTTCACTGACATTTAAATCTGACAGAATACAGACACAGATCTTACATCTTTTACTGCAGTTCAAACTAGAACTGATTTAAATTCAATACAAAATTCTGTATCATTTGGTAGCTTAGTAAGGCAAACATTTAAATCTCAACATATCTCTAAAACATATTTATAATTAATACATAATCCGACATGGGATACAAATTGATCTAGAAAAGGGGAGAAAGCAATAACCCAAAGATAGATTAATCCCAGAGAGCTTTTTTACCGGCATCAAAATAACTAAATAAGTTATAGATGCACATGATGAAAACTTTAACTAAATATGATAAACAAAGCTAATCATTTCAACAATTAACTAGTGTGGAAAATAGCCATGTGTAGTTTGCTGAATAGCAGCAGAGTCAGAGTTAACAGACATCAACAAAAACACACACTGACAGGAAAAGTTGACAGCATCCTGCCAGTCTGCTGGCAAACCTGCCCACTGACAGCCTCTTATCAGGAATAGTTAATGCAGCTGTAAGATGGATGAACTAACAGACGTGCCAGTTTTCTTTTAAAATTTGTCTTCACCTTTTGGCATTTCTTGTTTATTAAAACAGAGGAAACCCATCAAACAGATCATCCTTACCATTGCATCAGAATATTAAAAATATGCTTGTTACATGTATTCTCGTTGTTTTGTGATATTTCAATAGGATGAACATTTCAGAAGACTCTTGAGAAATCGGACATTTATATATTTATATGTTTCATTGGCAACATGAGAACATATTTGTTAAGAAATATAAGATTTATTAATGAATATTGGTAAAAAAAATCTTTGGATAAACATTTAATTTACTGTGAACAAAAGGCAGCTAACCAAAAACAGTAAAGCTAACTATATATGTGTGTGTGTGTTTGTGTATGATAGGCTGCAGTCCTGTGGGTTATGTTATTAGCTGCTCGGTTAAAGGGAGCCGCATGGCACAGGGGGGAGCCTTATTAATTGTTGTTTTCATGTCACCACCACTGCGTGCACTGGCTGATTTAATCAGTTAAATTCACAGCCAGGGGAGAGCCACTAGGTCCCATCCAGCATTAGCTGGCTGGGATTGAACTTCTAATACTTTCTTGCTTTTTATGCTCCCCTCTGCAGACTTTCATAGCTGCTTTCATTACTTTTTATAAGCCTTGTTTTAATGCGCAGCTTGGAGAACGAACAAAGTTTAAGCACTGCAGTAAAGGCCTTTTCCCTATTAAAAAAGCAGAAAAAAGGGAGTGTTTTCCTTCAAGAAAACTAATTGGAACAACTGACTTCAGATAGTATGCAGCTGAGACTTGTTTATTGGTAGGGAGGGGGGAAAAAAGTACACAGACATATCATTTTGTAAATATAAACAAAAAGTAATGCAAATTTTAGCTCTGCTCCTCAGAAAACAACAGCAATGTTTTCTTAAAAGACACTCATTGTCATTTTCGCATAAGCTGAATATGAAAGAAAAACCTTTAAAACTGTATGAAAACTAATTGAAATCAGAGCACTGAAATTCAGAACATATTTAGAAAAATAAAATTTTCATGTGTGATCAAACAGCTTTTTGTTAAACCTTTACCATGCAAGAGACCAAGCGGCAGAAGCTTTCAGAGACGGAGAGGCACTTTAACGAGGTGAGGCAATGAATCCTGCACTTGTTAAGATAATTATGATCAGCCTCATTGTCAGAGCTAATACTTCACACAGGCTGTCTTTACGCTTTGACTACCACTTAGCCTGTGTAAGCCCGCCATTATACATCACACAACGCTGCCTGCATATCGGTCTACGTGCTTTGGAGCTTACATAAGTGGTGGGTGTGTGTGCTGAAACCACCATTATCTACAAATATCCAGCCTACTGAGCACTAAGAGGAGATAGAGACATTTTTAGCAGGAGCAGCAACTCGGCAGAGGAAGGGGAGGATGGGGAAAAACCAGACAAGGACATTGGAGAGGAGATGTTGACCCAGAGAGCCACCCTCCTGGATCAATACACTAATACTGATGCAGACATAGTGATTGATAAACCACAGCTGACAACAGAGGGAAGAAAACTCTCGCCCGTTATTGGCTGAAATGTCATTCACTCCTGCCAGTGGTGTGCACCGGTGTCATGTCGGATATCCTCAGGCAACACATAAAAAATGAAGAACAGCAGTGTTGGCTGTTTTACATTTGTTGCACAGACTTTCTTCTTATGGATTATGCTGCTGAAATTGTGACTTGAGTTAAATTGTTATTGCTTAATGTATTATAATTTAAGACAATGCATTCTCTATTACCATACTACATCTGTGCTGTATATATATACACTATATTGCCAAAAGTATTTGCTCACCCATCCAAATTATTGGAATCAGGTGTTCCAATCACTTCCATGGCCACAGGTGTATAAATTCAAGCACCTAGGCATGCAGACTGTTTTTACAAACATTTGTGAAAGAATGGGTCGCTCTCAGGAGCTCAGTGAATTCCAGCGTGGAACTGTGATAGGATGCCACCTGTGCAACAAATCCAGTCGTGAAATTTCCTCGCTCCTAAATATTCCACAGTCAACTGTCAGCTGTATTATAAGAAAATGGAAGTGTTTGGGAACGACAGCAACTCAGCCACGAAGTGGTAGGCCACGTAAACTGACGGAGCGGGGTCAGCGGATGCTGACGCGCATAGTGCGAAGAGGTCGCCAACTTTCTGCAGAGTCAATCACTACAGACCTCCAAACTTCATGTGGCCTTCAGATTAGCTCAAGAACAGTGCGCAGAGAGCTTCATGGAATGGGTTTCCATGGTCGAGCAGCTGCATCCAAGCCATACATCACCAAGTGCAATGCAAAGCGTCGGATGCGGTGGTGTAAAGCACGCCGCCACTGGACTCTAGAGCAGTGGAGACGCGTTCTCTGGAGTGACGAATCGCGCTTCTCCATCTGGCAATCTGATGGACGGGTCTGGGTTTGGCGGTTGCCAGGAGAACGGTACTTGTCTGACTGCATTGTGCCAAGTGTAAAGTTTGGTGGAGGGGGGATTATGGTGTGAGGTTGTTTTTCAGGAGCTGGGCTTGGCCCCTTAGTTCCAGTGAAAGGAACTCTGAATGCTTCAGCATACCAAGACATTTTGGACAATTCCATGCTCCCAACTTTGTGGGAACAGTTTGGAGCTGGCCCCTTCCTCTTCCAACATGACTGTGCACCAGTGCACAAAGCAAGGTCCATAAAGACATGGATGACAGAGTCTGGTGTGGATGAACTTGACTGGCCTGCACAGAGTCCTGACCTCAACCCGATAGAACACCTTTGGGATGAATTAGAGCGGAGACTGAGAGCCAGGCCTTCTCGTCCAACATCAGTGTGCGACCTCACAAATGCGCTTCTGGAAGAATGGTCAAAAATTCCCATAAACACACTCCTAAACCTTGTGGACAGCCTTCCCAGAAGAGTTGAAGCTGTTCTAGCTGCAAAGGGTGGACCGACGTCATATTGAACCCTATGGATTAGGAACGGGATGTCACTTAAGCTCATATGTGAGTCAAGGCAGGTGAGCAAATACTTTTGGCAATATAGTGTATATATATATATATATATATATATATATATATATATATATATATATATATATATATATATATATATATATATATATATATATATATATATATATATATATATATATATATATATATATATACAGATAACCCTGTATAACCCTGCTATAAAATAAAAAAGCTGTCATACTGTATGCGAATGCACTGTATATACTATATATCCCATGCACCTTTTTCTTCCTTTAGCAACTGCTTCTTTTGTTTTTACTATTTTAGCTGATTTTATCAGTACATTTCTCCACTGTGAGATCAATAAAGTCAATGAATCAATCACTCGCAATACTGAAAGATCCCTGAATGCATATACAAAAAGTTGGAACAAAAGACAAAAAATATGAAAAGGTGGAGAGACTTCACTGATGCAGTCAATACTTTAACAGCTATAAATACCACAATGAAGCACTGTTACAGCTACAGCATGAAAATAAAATTTTTATATTAAATAGGTGTGTCGACTGGAAATTATAGACTTAAACAAAAAAGATGACTGGAGGGTGGGTTAGAGAAAGGAATGACGCAACAGTACTTCAACTCATCCTCTTCAGGTTATTCAGGACTGAGTCGTAGGGGCAGCATTCTTAGCAGAGATTCCCTAAGCCAACTTTTTCCG